TGCTGGACATTGTCGTCGTGCTAAATGGCGCAAGGAGATGGATCTTTGGAATTAGCCCTCGTTTTGAGTGGCACTCCAGCTAGTGACCAAAGAAGCCACTTGATTTACGTTTATGGGATGTGCGGGCAAGCGTTAAGTTGTGAAATGGGGAAAAGGCAGAGGCAAATAAAGTCAGCTGGCTGTATGACGACCGCCTGAGAAAGCGAAGTGAATACTCTAATAGAAAATAAGGAATGGCAACGGGCAAATGCCAATGCGAAATGCAGTCAATTGAAATGCAAGGCTCCACGATGATGAGGATGTGGAGGTTGCAGGCTAGGAGTTCAAGTCAAAGCAAAATTCGTAGAGCAAAAGAAAAATGAACTAGAGTCAGGCAAATTGGCTATGCAAACTGGGCAAAATGGCTGCTTCAGCGAGCAACGACAAACAAAATGGACAAAATTGAGCTGGAGGGGAAAGTTTAGCGGGTCCTATTGGCACGAAAAGAACCCCCCCTCTTGCACTTCCCTCAAGTATTGACAACATTGTCAAAGGGGCGGAAACAAGGGCCAAACAGCGAACATTTCTTTTGGTCGAATTGAAAAACTGTAGACGCCGCCTGGAGTTGCACTTTAGATTTATTGATTGTCTCAGTGCGTTGCTGTCCTTGGCAAGTCCGAATGTGTCCTGCAGTCCTTCGCAGTCCTGGCTTATTGCTGTTGAAAAACTTGCACAAGCACCCCGACAACAATGCTGATGATGACAGCAGCAGCAGCAGTAGCAGCAGCCACTACCAACTCTTTCCACATTTTCTTTTTTATCCCCACTCGCCCTACACGTCCTCGAATGGAACGCACTTTTTATACATGCTCACAGCAAATATATATTTTAATTCACATTAAAATCATTTTTTGTGCAATCTTTAAATGCGGAATTGTGGAAAATTTCGTAGAAATATTTTTTGTTTTTCGTTATCATAAGTTGTGGTGAATTTTTATTTGGAAAAATGTTATAAATTTATGAGTATATTTTCCGTTGTTTATTACACTTCATTTTACCTTAAAAAAGGTAATTAATTGATAATTTTTCAAACTAAAATTTACTAAAAATATTTTTTTTAATTATTTCTAAATTTTATGTTACATTTTTAAGAAACTTTCTTTTTTAAATTATTTTAAGCTAAAATATATGTTAAAAATTAAATTTAAAAAACTTGAACTTTATCTGAACTTCCCTCTATTTTCTTTAAGTGTTGTACTTACACACACATTTTGTTTTTTTGTACATTTGTGAGCTCGACTCAACTTTTTGTTCTGCTTGGTTTTTTTTCTCCCAGCTCGGGCGCAAACTTTCTGCAGTGCAATGCGGATTGAAATTCTTTTGTGTTTACAGCGGAATTTCTTCTTTATTTTCTTTCATTACATATTATTTGCGATTGCTGGCAGCTATTGGTGGCCATAAACCGCCGTTGCAAGTGGATTTACCTTTAAAGCATCGCTCATACGCCGTGTGCCACGAGCGGAATTTAATATTTTTAATTACGCTCATTTCAGCCTGTTTTTCCATGTTTACATTTCAATAAATTTCCACTCAGTCTGCCGTCAGGTCTTTCATCATTTTTCCATCCTTTTTTTGGTTTTGTTTTTAAGCTGGTTCTGCCGCCGCCTATTTTCATCCTCCTTTTTGGCCTATTTTCATCCTCCTTTGGCACTTGTCATCATCAACACTTTTAGCTGTTGCTTTTCGCTGCTGCTGCTGCTTCTCTTGCTGCTGCTGCTCGACTAACGAATTTGGTGGCGCATAATGAGTTTTTGTTTCCGTCAGCTTAAGTTCCCTCAATGCAAAAAGGAAGAAAAACCAGAAGCTGGAGCAGCAGCGGCAACAACAATTGCCATTGCTATTGCCATTTAATTAAAAATTGCAGAATAATTATTTTTCTTTTTCGTCTCGCTCCTTGTTTTTCCTTGACGCTCCTCTCTGCTTTTCCACGTTCCCGTTCTTCGGCCAGCGCGTGGAGAAACTTTTAAATAAACAAAGGCGCCCTCTGCAATTTGAAAATCAGCAAATTAGCACAAATGCAGCTTGCGGATGGATTAAGGGGGAATGGAGATTGAAGGCTTGATGGAAGGGAGGAAGCTTGATGAAGGTGCATGGAAATGGGATAAAGGGGTGAAACGGAAAATGGAAAACTGAAAATGGAAAATGGGCCAAAGGAAAAAAAGCGTTGCAGGGACAAAGTGAAGTTTTCAATTACATTAAATCCGCTGCGTAAAGTTATAGTCACGCACAGTTGACATAGTTTCCTGCCTGGCCAACACGTTCTTGGCCCGAACAAATGTCAGTTTAAGAGCTTTGTTTAAATGCGTTAATAAAATATTGTTCCCCTCCGCTCGGCTCAACATCATTATCACGCAGTGTGAAAAACTTTTAGCCAGGCCTGCTGTTGCTACAGGTGTTTCCTGAGCATTTGCACACGTCCCGTATGGGCAACTTTTCGGCCTACCAAGAAAAGTTTTTCTTTTTTGGCCAACTTTGGCTTAAATGCCAGCCAAAACTCGTTTGGCTCTGAGCGAAAAACTCATCGGAGAGATTCGCAGAGGCGGCACGATTACAGTTCAGTTTCAGTTCCGCGTGAAATGCTGACAAATGCTGTCAATATATCAACTGTAAACCGTAAATGATGAGACCATTTATTACGCTGCTGCAAGAGCAGCTACAACACAGTTACAGTGCTACAAATGCAGTTTATACACTTATAAAAAATTTATATATTATGCATTTTTTATTAATTTATAGTCAAGGTTTATTGTTGTTACTCATTATTGGTATTGGTATTGCTTCATCAGAAATTGATTAGTGAGCTTGGAGATTGATAGCCAATCAGCTATTATTGCTCAAACTAACAAAATCGGAATATAACACAAAACACAAAAAACTTAATTTAAGATTTTATAGTTAAGGAGAAGTATTTATTCAAGTGCAGCTTGCTTGCTGCCTCTGCGGCAGGCAATAAGTTGAAAACCGAGACAACCAGACAGACAAGAGCAGCAGCGTCAGCATTCAAGAATCCAGCTTAAGTAGCTGTTGGTGGCTCTACTCATCTCCATGGATCCTCTGCTGCTCTAGTGTTCTGGTGTTGTTCTGCTGCTAGTCGTCTCAACCTGCCACTTGATGTATATTTCGGCAACATTATACCCAGCGCTTAATACTTTATGCTTATTTTGTTGCCACAAACCCGAAAACGGGAAGGATGTGGAGGGTAATAGTGGCAGTGGTTTGGGGTAGAGAGCCAAGCAAATTTATATTCTGCTTTGGCAGCACAGGATAAAGTTGTCTAGCTCAGCCTGTCTCTGGTGCAACTTCGCCTGCGGCTTATGATAAACTGGGCTGCACTTAAGCTGCCTCTGCATACGAGTCCAGCTATATGTGCTCGTATTTACAGTAGCCTACCCTACCCTTCCATCCTCGCTCTTCCTGGCAATTCAATTTTACCAGCAGTGTATGTGAGTGTAAGGAGCTTAAAACTTAAATAAATTTCGTTTGTGCCCGAGCTACTTGCCCAGATATATATTCGCATACAAAGAACGTTAAAATTTTTTTACAAATTGCCAGTCGATTTCTTAACCGGCTATTGCAATTCAAAAAAAAAAGAAAGAGAGCTTAAGTTGACCAGCTGATGTCGGGCACAGATTTCCGAAAATATTCCTTCGCAAAAGGGTGAATTCGCTGTGAGTAAAGGGAAAAAGGCAACCAAATATCACATTTTAATCGAATAGGTCATAAGTATAAGTTATTAAAAGTTTGTCTGTCAGAGTTGGCCAGAGACCAAATCAAAGCTTACTTTATCGCATCACATTCTCCTCACGAAAAAGATTACTTAAATAGGTTGAAATATTCCGATAATTGAGGAACTTTTCGCAGAGTGTCGGTGAAGTCATGCATTTCCCAGTTGGCCAAGAGTCCCCTGAATAAGATTGAGGTGAGCTATAGCTATAAGCATTGGCATTAACAACGGGACAAAAGCTTTTCATTATGCACGCCACTCGCCGGCGAACAACGCGCACGGCAACTCAAAAGGGCAAATCCCTTTCCAACAACAGTAACCTCCACCTCCTTCTCATTCTCCTGTCAAGTGCACTTTTTCGAATGCCTTTCATCAAAACACTTAATTTGCATAATTTTTGTAAAGGGGGAGAGAGTTGGCTGGTCCGAACAGCCTCAAGAGCTCTGAAAGTATGAGACGATTTAATTCCGCCAGCTTTAAAAAAGAAAAATGCAATTGCAAGTACCAGAAAATGTGCCGCACACTTCAGCCACGAAAAACTTTTCGCTGCTAGATTCCGGGTTGAAAGAAGATACCTTTTGTGCGGTGCGGTAATCTAATACTTTTACTTCATTTACCTTTATGAAATTTCCTGCACTTTACATATTTCACATAAATGTGCTCTAGAAATAGCAGCCCAGCAGCATCAGGCAAAAATATTTTTGGCCGGGCAGAAAAGGCCAAAATGTAAAATGCATTTTTCAGTAAATCAGCCTAATGCACTCAATGATTCCACCATCAAGTCTGAAAATATGGCCAAAAAGCAACAAGCCCGGCTAAAAGGATAAAGAATGAAAAAGAAAGGGAGGAATGCCAAGGAAAGGGAGATTTTAAGCGGATGTTACGTCGTAAATTTAATCTGGCAAGCGATAGTTGAGGTAACTTGATAAACTTAATGCTCCATAAGCTCCAAAAGCAAAGGCTAGGAGTCAAGTTCAAAGGATTCAGTGAATGGGAAAATTAAACTTGCTAAAGGTGATGATAGAGATAGTGCCAAATTCAATTAAGACCTTAGAAAGCGAAAGCAATCAATATTTTACTATCAGTTGTCGATAGAAAATCGTTGGAATAATTTTCTTAACCAAAACATGTTGGGTAATTTTGAATTACTCATTGACTTGGACTGTCATTTAGGCTAATACATTTAGGCCTTGCAAATAATAACCAAAATTTGTCTTCTTTTTCTTTCTATTTGCAGCTGAGCGAGGACATTGGCTATGTGCTGTACTCGGCACTGGGCTCCTTCTACATACCCAGCTGCATAATGGTCTTTGTGTACATACGAATTTACTTTGCCGCCAAGGCGCGAGCGAGGAGAGGCATTAAAAAGCATCCCCGCAAAACAAACAACGAACAGGTGAGTGAGCATTTTTGACCCATCAACATTTATACACTAAAGATGGATGTGTGCCTAATGAACTCTGACAAAAAAAACGCCCAACCAATTGCACATCAGGAGGTCGCATTCTCACACTTTCGAACCATTAATGCGGTTGGCCGCAAAATGTGTCAGCCATGGAAATGGGATTTTTTACGATTCAATAGACAAATGTAATTCTTCTAACCGATTGAGGCATATGCGTCGTAATATTTGCACACCTTTTCGAGGTTTTTTTTTTTGGAGAGAGTGAAAAGTAATTGTGCATTACCACCAGGAAGCTGCAAATTGAGCACAAATGCTTTGCTTCAATTTCCCATCAGCAACTTGTGGACTAGGATTTAACCCCATTTCCTCCGCCCCATTCAGGGATTGCAGGTTGCCAACGTTGCAATTTTGGCCGCTGCAGCAGTTGGCCACGTTAAGGCAAACGTCCATTATGCAGGGCCATTCAATCCAATGGCATTTGCTGACTCCACCACACCCCGCTCTTAACGGCCTTTGTTGGAAAATTATCGCTGAAAATTTAATCGAAACTCCAGGCCAACCAAAATCCACTGATTGAGTGAAAAGTCTCTAATGATCGTCAATTACCTGCCGCAACGAGTGCCAATGCAACGCAATTTGCATTTTCAATTAACTGTATGCGCAATGCACACACAGACAACAACAAAAAGAACACACACAACACTAAAAAAAAAAAAGAAGGAAAACTGGGAGTGAGGTGGAAAACATTGCCCGTCTGGACAGTGCTGGCAATATCAGCGACACTTCTCGACCATTTTGTGCAAACAAATTCAAGAGCAGCGGCCCAAACGAGCGATTAACAAACAGGGGAATGAAAAATTTCGGAGGGGCAATGGCAGTGGAAAAACAAGCAGAGGAAAAACGGAAATCAGGGGGAAAGCAGAAGGGAGATTCTCACACATATGCTGACAAAGCGATTTGCTTCAAGCATTGTTTTTATACCCATTAAAGGGGTATGTTCATTTTCTTATTTTTAGGAATATGAACTTTTTATACTTCTTACTTGCCTATAAGAAAATATTTTAGATAGCTTAAAAATCGATTACAAAGTAGAGTTTACTCCAAGTTCTTAATTTTCAATCGTTTTCTAGTTTTAGAAAAAATCTTTTCAAACGTTTTAAAACTAAAGGGTTCTTCTACCCTCGAGCCACGACGCTCTCTTATTTTATTTTCATTTTCGTTGCGACGCTCTGTGTCTCTGTTAATTGCCCGGGGTAATTGTTGCTGCTTTTCGAGCATTGAATATGCACTTCTCCTCCACCGCCTCACCCATTCCCCATTGGCCATCCAAATGCAACAGCCCTCGCTCCATGTTTGTGTAATCCGCGCGCTCGGACGCGTTTCTGCCGCCTGTTGGCTTAAACGGGATTTTCGAAATGGAAAACTGTTGTAGCAAGTGTTGGGCCATCTGTCCCTGTTCTCGCCAGCAGTTGCACTTGTGCGGATCTGCAACCTAATTTGCAATGCCCGAGCATGTGAGGCTGTTAATCACACAGAGTCACTTTGAGAAGTGTAAACCATGCCAAAAAATACCAAAGTATCATCTTTATAAATCATTGAGAAAATCTTTAAAGCGCCAATTAATTTATTAGCTAAGATTCATATTTCTATTAGGTTTAGCTCATTCTTAAACTTGCATTTTTATGCATTAATAATGGTCTATTCCTTGACCATTATCGCTTCAGGTAACGAGCTTCACCACCGCCAAGAAAGGAACAATACCGATGCCCTCCTCCAGCGGCGTTTCCGCTTTGCAGCTGCACCAACAGCGCCAAATAGCCACCATCGAGACACCACCGAACAGCGCCAGTTTGCCGATGCAGATACCCACGGTGACCATGGACCTGGCGTCCGACATTTCCACCTCAGAGGCGGGGGAACTGGAGGCGGTGGCCGCGCAAACAGTGCTGGCATATGCCAATCCCAATGGGGCGGGCACAAATTCGGTGACCGTTGTGAGCAGTGGGAATGGTGGAGCTACTGGTGCCACGGGTCCACCAAGCTCCCCCAAGGAAACGCTTCAGGTGAGCACAATAGCCACTGGTCGGGTGGGACTCAATGTGCCCGTTCCGCCGTCCATGGGCAGCAACAACTCCATCAATGCGCTGAACAACAATAATGGCAGCGTGGCCATGGATGGAGTAGCACCACCCAGTAGTGCTGGAGGAAATGGAAGTACAGTGGCGACGACGGGTGGACTCCAGCAAACGCCCGGAAACGAGCTGCGCGTTTCTCCGATCGCCGGACGGTGTCGAGCTTTATCCGTGGGCGTGGATACGGACATGGTGAGTGAATTCGATCCATCCAGCAGCGATTCAGGTGTGGTCAGTCGCTGTGCCGTGGTCAAGCCGCTCAAGTTTCGCCTTTGCCAGCCGATCTTCGGGCGCAAGTCCAATAATCAGCAGCGTCGCAACGAGGCCAAAACGGCGGCCAAAAATCAACAGCCCAGTGCGATGGCCAGCAAAAATCAACAGCAACAACAGCAGCAGCAGGTGGTCAAGGCGGAACTGGAGCCGGCCATACCGAAGACACCCAAACCCCGGGATCCGGAGAAGGAGAAGCGAAGGATTGCGAGGAAAAAAGAGAAGCGTGCCACGCTGATCCTGGGCCTAATCATGGGCAGCTTCATCGCCTGCTGGCTGCCATTCTTCTTCCTGTACATCCTGGTGCCGGCCTGTAGCAGCCATTGCAATATACCAGAGTCGGCTTTCGCCGTCGCCTTCTGGCTGGGCTATATGAACTCGGCCCTCAATCCGGCCATCTATACCATCTTCAACAAGGACTTCCGACGCGCCTTCCGGCGCATCCTGTTCAAGTGATGTTTGGCCTATGTGTGCTGTTACAGGTGCGTTTACGCCAGCATCGAGAAGGCAACCGAACGTGCCATGGGCAGCACACCCATGGGCTATGGTCATGGCATGTATCAGCACTACAGGCGTTAGATTTGCTTCGTTTTGGTAATGCTATAAGTCCCCAAGTCCACCTTAAACCCAATCCTGTTTACTGGGCTGCAAAACTATTGATTGTTCTTTCGATTTATATATCATTTTTATAGTTTTCCATCTTTTAATTATCAACCTTAGTGGAAAAGAAGTTGTCAGCAAACGATAAAGCATTATAGACTCGGTTTATTCTACTACAACTTTTGCTGAATTTCCTATCGATAGATTTATTACAAACAATGGATTGTTTTATAAATTTGTGAATTCTTTGTATTCGGAAATACAACTTACTGATACTTATAGTTATCAAAAATATTAACTGAACTAGCAATCAATAGTTAAGCAGCTCAGTCCACTCCCAATAGCTAACTGCCTCCCATATTTTTTTTAATCTTTTTTGTTTTGTTGAATAAAAAAAGTAACGAACATTGTAGCTCATTTCAAAAGCAATGAACGGCTGTGAATTTGATGGAATCTCTCAATTTCAATTTACGCATTTTGGTTTCGTTTCGTTTGGTTTCTCGAGCATCCTTGAACCCAAAGACCCCAGAAGCCCTTAGAACCTCCACAGCCCACACACTTTTCACACTCGACGAGCTCATAGAAATGCATGAGCTGTGCAAACAAGAATTTGAGCTGGGCAAACATCTATTATGCTCCCTGAATGGATGTGTCCGCCAGCGACGTCTATGGCCATTCAACTTGAAATAATTTCGCAAATTTCCATTTGGGGCTGCATTGGCATTGCCAATGCCAAATATCAGTGCAGTCTGCAAATGTGTCAAGAGTCAGGTAGCCGCCCCAGAACCCCAAAGGCTTACCAGACCATCACCATTGTTGTTGTTCGATTGGTAATCAAGCAATCGAGGTCAACAAGTGTGCGTTGCCGTCGAACGTTGGTTGGTAGCAAATTAATTTAATTTCTTTTTAATATTTTGGCAACTGCTTATCCACTACTTCGACGAAAATCTCAGAGTCAGGACGCCTGCCATTGCAAGGTTGCATTTGGCTTTGGGCCAAATCAATAATTTCATATGCACACACGCACACAGATGCAACTATAATCCAGCACAACAGCCGCACAATTTGATGTAACAAAGTGAACACACATAGCCATGGAAACTGAAAACTGAGAACTGAAACAGAAACAGCGACAGATTCCACAAGGCAGTCGCAGTTTTATTCATTCACTCAAAGATATTTCACTCAGCGACACAGAAAGTGGGAGCACAAAAAGAAAAATAAACCAAATGTATGGGAACCAATGCCTAATGGGCACTGGCAGATGCAAATGCAAATGGTTGGCTTCTACACTAAGAAAAATAATTAATTAAAATAATAAATATTCTATTTTTAATTCAATATCAGTTTTTTTAATACTTTCGATTAATTTAAAGAGACAAGCTTAATAGATTATTTTTTCATCATTACACATAGATCTGTATTGCAAATCTGAGGAATACATTTTTCTCTGTGTGCAACCCATCCCCATACACCATTTTCTCCACCATTTCCCACTTTAGTTTTTGGCTATGCATCAGCAAATGTATGCACCCGGCCGAGTGGAATAGACAGCCCGTCACCCAGTCAGTCAGTCATTCCGTCAGTCAGTCAGTCATTCAACCATTCAGTCGGTCGAACGGGCAGACAGTCGTCACTGGAACGCTACAATGACACCGAGTTAGACGAAGATGGAGACAGAGGAGCCAGACCAGGGACAGGGACGTTCAGACCGACTCTGTTTTTGGCATGTGGCCCAGAATGGCTCTCCATTTCGTTTGGCTGGTTGGGCTTGTTTTGCTAGCCAAAAACCAAAAAAAAAAAAAAGAAAAAATGGCAAGGAAAAAATATATTGTATGGCCCAGAACACACACAAAAACACAAAGGCTGACAGTCTATGCATAAATTTTACGTACAATTTATTTTACTTCCTGTCTGACGGCTGTGTCCCTAATAATTTTTTCGGTTACTTTGTGGCAAGGTGCAGCAACTTAATCTGCGTGCCACTTGTAACCACTATAGTCACTCCCTCCCTGGGTAAATTGTAATCTTCGCAGAGCAATCTTCAATCTCCAATAGAGCATCTATAATCACCTTGTTCTCTGAGGCACACAAAATTTATGACAGCTCTTAGCATCGCTCGACCTTTCAACACATGTTGGCATAGTCGAAGATTGATCAGATTTATAGCTATGGCTATAGGCTAAGTGCTTGCGGTTCCCGAAGACCTCTTAAAATTGTTTAAGAACGCATAAATAATGTGACCGAGATCGGCCATGAATGGGATATGGGATGTATATATGTATGTATTTCATTTGAATAAAATGGAAATGGAAATCGACGAAAGAACTTTGATGGTGTTGAAAGACAAACACTGAAGGCTTTCGGTGGCTGGTGCATTTTTTATGGATCACACAGCATCCTGCCGAACGTTTTGGCATTGTCAGCAATGTGTGTACAACAACTGCACTCAAATGACAATTTGAACAACGACAGAAAGTCCAACAATAACAGCTACAACAACAAGCTAAATGGCAGGACCAAAAAAAAGGACCGTCGTGCACAAAGCGAAATCGAAAACAATTGAAATCGACAGCAAGGGAAAACCCAAGTGGTGCAGGTGGTGCAGCAGGCACATTAAAATGCGCGATTTACACGTTAAATTTAAAAAAATCTTTTCATTTTTCATGAAATGCAATAAAACTCAGATTAAAAATGTTCTTCAAAGTAGTTTTAAAACCTCTTTATTTGGGATATTTTCTTTTATTAGACAATATATCCCTAAATTTCCTTAGTTCATTCAGAAGTACTTACAATTATGCAGTAATACCTCCTTTTTAGTTTAACAGTTTCTGAAAAATATTGATAAATACTTTAATTTTTTAGATATTTGAGAATAAAAACCCACATTAATGAGTAAAACTAACTTCTAAATTTGTTTCTTCTAACCATAAATATATTTTTTTAATTAATTCTAAGATTTCAGTGTAGCTGCTTAGCTTTAAGTTATATAACATTTCCATAAATATACCTTTTAGTTTAAATTTTCTTCAGTGTAAATACAAACACATCCCCTACACAGCACTTAACTGCACTTAGGTGCGACAGCCAGATGAGTGTCGAACGACATTCCACGAATGGCATTGTTTTGCCTGGCACACTGAAAGTCATTTTCACTTAAAGCGTAAAAAGCTGTCAGGCATTTTAGACCACCCTGCGTATACGCAACGCCATCCTTTGTGTCCTCTTTTTTTTGGTGAGGATCTGCCTTTGCTGGCTACTTTACTAAGGCCCATTAATAAAATTGCAATTAACGTCACAATTAGCAATCACCATAAATTAAATGCTCGACAACAATTTAAAATTTATCATAGCCAAAGAAAAAAACAAACAAAAAAGCGCGACAAAAAACCATTTTGTATAATTCAAAGCTATTTAAATTAATTCCCATAATTGAATTATAAGATTTGGAATGCAAATTTTTTCGCTTTGTTTGTCCTAATTGTTTCGAGTCAACAAGGGAGTTGTCCGAAATCGAGTAAATATCAAAATTAAGCGTAAAACATTTACAATAATTACATAAAAACATTTTAGATTACTGTAGTCTTATTGTCTCTAATTTCGTTTTTTTTTTTTTTTTTTTTTTTTCGTACATTTTAATTCCGAACACCAGAGGCAACGAATTTGCTGGTGAAATTTAATTATTTATAGCGCAAAATGCGTAAATTAGAATTTGCATTTCTGTCAACAACTATTTCGGCACCATGCTTTATATGCCATAAGCCAATTTAATGCCTGATTAACTCGGCAAATTGCAAGGGGTATTTATAGAGAATCGGATGGACAGGGAAAGGTACTTTAAATGCATTTTTGTTTGTGGTTGCGCAATTTTCAGAGAATTTTTGTGCAACTCTTGGTAAATATTTGTCTAAAATTACTATCGCCCATGCAGACAAATGTTTATTTATGCGTAACTATTGCCCAGACGGGCGCATTCATAATAATTACAAGTTCTTTTCAAAATAGCAAATAAATTACACTTAATACAAATGCATTCGGATAAAAGCATCAAAAGCCATCAATAAAACGGCATTCACTTATGTTTACGACCCACCCACATGATAAACACGTGAAAAGTGCAAACATCGAAAATGCATTGTTGCCGAAATTGCATGAATGCTTCCGTGGCGCCGAAATTTTTTGAATTTCTGCGAGAATCTACTCTGTGATAGATATATATATATATAAATATGTATATATATGTAATTTTTGGAAAGCTCTTGGAGCAATTATCGTGACCATTAGGCAAAAGTCGCATGAATCATGGAAATGCTGCTAGCTGGCCTGCATATTAATTAATAAAGTATAAAAGCCATAAATGTAAAACTCATAACGACAAATGTTGGACCATAAATATGCACTTAGGTATTTATGCGCATTGACAGCATGAATATTTATGAGCCAATGACGGCAGCGACAGCGGCCATTAAAATGCGCCCCCCGTTGATTAATTGGAAAAGTTGCTGTGAGTTGGTTGTGCTGGTTCAACGGGTCGTATGCTTTCCCCCCTCTTTCCTTTTTAGCAGGTCTGAGAAAATGCCGCCCAAAACCAAGCAAATCCAATGCCTGTCTTCAGGTTTAGAAACAAAAATAATAATAATAATAAAAAATACAAATGAATTTATTTGTTTGCCATTAGATAAGCCATGCGACCATCTAAGTTCAAGTTTTGAGGCTCGACTTTCAAAACAAAAACAAAACACAAAAATCACAATGACTGAAATGTTTAATGGAATTATTTCATTAAAAAAAAAACAAAAAACAAAAACAAATTGCAAGTAACTTAAACGTATTTCAATATTTAAACTTAAACTTTTTGCTAATTGTAAACTAGAAAAAAATATTTATATATATATAAATACTAATGATAAACAGATAACAGATAAATATATATATTAAAGTTGAATTTTGAAATTAGATAAACGAAATCGGCGGGTATTCGGATAGTTCAGATATATTTAGCATAATTTATAGTTGCCGATAAATATCTATAGAGAAGTTTACTCATTTGACTTGTATCGTACGACATATGCATAGCAAAAATTTTAAATCATATTCTCATACGTGTCTGTTCCACCTAGTTGTGTGTAGATCAAATATGAGCAAAATAATAATAAAATAATGAACAATACCACCAGATTATGAGCAAACCATAAAGATACTTCATGGAACCGAGGAAACATGTGTATATGCAAATGTATATCAAATCGAGCGAAATTTAAATCAAATTTCGGTAAATGACGGAATAAATGAAAATAAATTTAATGCAGAAAAAGAACAAAAAAAAAAGAAACATCAAACAAAACAAAAACTACCTACATTTTAAGCGGAAGTCTTCCACTACAATTACGCTCTCTCCACTGGCATTGTATTTGTTCCCTCGTTTTACCGACTTCAACTTCTGTTCCCAGGCAGACTATATGTAACTAAATGTGTGTATATTAAATAAGTACGAGTATTTCGAAAGGTTTCTTCCCAAAAACAAAAAACTAAACAAAAACAGAAACAGAAAACTAGCAAAAACCAAAATGAAATGTAAACCGAATGGAAAGCATAAGCCATAAATTTACATTACTTAGAAAAATGCTGCACAAATTTGCATGTTAGTTTCCCTAGCCATGTAAGTTACGATTAATAAACTGTAGTTAACAAAGGGTAAAATACACACACAGAAACTAAGAAAATATTCTATGAATAAGTTACAAACTATGTTTAGTACTAGACATTTGTTTTTGTTTATCATCTGTTGAATATAAAAGGAGCGAGTTCTCATTTTACGTTATTTGTTTGTAGTGTCCACATAGCTAACAACGAAGTAACATGGTGCTATGAGTTACATTTCTCCTTCTCTCAGTTAGTTCGGTGGTCAAAACGTTAAAATCTGAGCCCCTTTTAACGTCTTGGTTGCATGTAGAGCACCACCAAAAACTAAAACTGTCTCCTCATCACCCTCCCCCGAAGAAAGAGAACTCAAATCAAAATTGAAAGTTAGTTAAGCGTATTAAGAGCATTTCAAACTTACTTAGCCACTAAGTCTTGTAAATACCTATAACTTATGCCACGTTATAGTTTATAGTTCATCTCAACTATATATATATATATAAATAATACGATTACGATAATGAAATGTAAATTGAGCAACACAAAATTGCAAATTGAAGCCACCAAAGAATTGAATTTTCGCATGTAAGTCGAACAAGTAAACTAAAAAGTATTTAATTATACCAAAGCTAAGACTAAGTGTAGGCAGAGCAAAAAGCAAAAAGCAACCCTTTCTTACCCCAAAGAAAACAGCAACAATAGTCGAAAACTTTTAGCATTTAGGCAATCATATATCATAGTTCAACTAAACTAAACAACAAAAGGAAATTCCTCCAAAACTAAATGTACATTTCTGAGTATAGCGAAACAACAACAACAACAAAACACCAAGAACTAAAAAAGCGCATTTAAAACTTTAAGTTTCGTTGTTTTCCCCCTCCCCGAAAATCCCACACCAGTTGAGTTTGAGCAAAACGTATGTAACATTTACCCATTGTATGGGATGAGTTGTTTTCCTAAGATCTTGTAGTCTGTAAGTGAAACTTATAATATAGAATATACGAGTACGATATATGAAAACTACGAGAACTAAATTAAAACTATTAGCTAAGTGAATACATATGTCCAGTAGAAAGGACAATAAAGATTTAATTGAAAATTATACAGTACGATTACAATTACCACTAAAGAGCCGACGAAAAATACTACCATAAGAGGCTTCAAAACTCGAACTCATCAATATAAAGAAAAAGCTAAAGCTACCAAACAAAATACTACAAAAAGAAAACCTTTTAAAACTTACTCTCGTTAAGCGAATCAGAAAAACAAGTGCGGAAAAGCCGAAATCATAACTGAATAATAAAAGAAACCGAAAGTATTCTTAAATTCTTTAAATGCGTTTGTGAAATTATTCCGTGACACACCTTGTCTTTATCGGCAAGGCGACAAATACTTGGAAATTCAATGGATAGCGAAAGTGAAAGGGATTGAAATGCCTGGGAAAAACACCCAATAAATTTTGCAAAGGGGGGTGTAAAAATGCGGCGTTTTTAATGGCGTTTTAATTTCCTGTATGCGCAGACTCCGCTCCCCAAAAAAAAGGACCGGCATTTCGGCTCCTCAGCATATTGATTTTCCCAGCAGCAGCAGCAGCAGCCTTGACATTGCCGAGCTGTCAAAGTCGGTCATTAAAAATGCAGTCTAACAAAAGGTGAGATAGCTACTAAATATAGCCCACTTCTGGGAGAAGATTTTAAAGGTAAGTACATGCAAAATGCACAGCATACTTTTGGGAGAAAATGCAACTTAAAGCAGGTATCTTACAGGTAGAAAACAATTAACAAGTAAAGTAAAAAATATAATATATTCGTATAAATGTTCAACAAACAGATAACAAATCTTTATCTAAATATTAAATCTTAAAAGTATTGATAAGTCTTAACTTAACTTCTCTATGAGTGGCATCACTTAAATTTTGTATACCTTAACCTTTAAAAATTGAATTTCCTTATAAATTTACTTTGTCTTTCCCATTAATCACACACCTTACTGCTGGCTAATGCACTTCCAGAAAGAAAATAAAAAATGATATGTCTAAAGTTTAGCCAGCTAAATAGAAACCCCAAACCGGACACAATTATCACACTTTGTTGACTCAATCCCTGGGCGATTCATTAGCCAAGTGTACTTTATACTCTTTAAAAAAAGAGAGAGAAAAAGTAAAACAAGTTGCTGTGCGATCAATTGTTTTGCGAGCGCAATTAAATAATTAGCGCCAAATACGCGCTTTTGGCGCCCCCGGTGCCGCCACAGTCTCATTAATCAAAGCGCGCCAGCAGCATGCAAAGTTTGTCAAGCCAGTTTGTTTGCCCGTCTGCGAGTCTGGCAGTCTGCGAGTTGGCCAGGTGCTAATTACACACGTGACGACGGTCCGCGATGTGCAAAAACTGGGCTAAAACCTACAACTTTACTGCAAAACTCAACCAACAGACCAACACACACATTTGGTGTAAAGGAGCTGAGAAACTGCGGGCTAAATCCAAATGGCAGACACAGTACTAATTGTTTCAGTTGTTGCTCCCAAAAAAGAAAACTTTTGCAGCGTTTATCAACCAGGTCAGAAGTCGCAGCCAACATCATTTTCCAGCGGCATTAGGAAAAATTAAAAGCACCCGCGAATAATTGTCACGAAACAAAAAGCTACACAAACCGAGCTCGTTTCTATGGCATTATAAAAAAAATAGAAAAAAAACATACACACAGAGAGATGACTACATGAGTTGTGCAAGTTTTAATTAGTTAATTTAAAGCCTGGCACCAACAGGAGTCCCGTTGCACGCTGCGTATGAGTAATGAGCGAGCTGGCTCAGCCGAGCAACTACACGTATGCGTGATACGGAAAGTCGTCTAAATACGTACACTGAAGAATAAAACAAAAACAAAAATATTAAACAATAAGTTTCTTTTAAGTTCAAAGAGTTATTTGCTTTAAATTTAAATCTTAAATTGTTTAACTTTCCCTTTTTGAAATGTAACTAAAATGTTCCACCTCACTTTTCACAATGATTCACTTTTAATATAGGCTTTAAATGTCTATCAAAATCAATTTGTAGAGCAATTTATTCTAATTTATTCAATATACATTAACGAGCACATCTGTTTTACAATGAGAATCACATTAATACGATAATCATTATTAATTGATCAATTAATCAAACTAAGAAGAATGAGTAGAATATCTTATATACGTATATAAATCAACAAGAAAGACTTGATTTATCTTTAACTTGAGAGTAAAGTATCTAGTATTCAGATATGTAAATGAAATTGTAAACTAATAACAATTAATAATGAAGAGTAAAGATTAAAGATGCCCAACTAACAGAAAGACAAAACTTTCGATTGCAAGTAATATGAAAACTATCCTTCTGTTACATCATCTAATCCTTTTTCTCCACGTGCACGATATGTAAGTCAGCTTCCCTTAATGTGTATTTCTTGAAGCTGTCAACATTTTGCCAACGCTTGAACTTTTGCACCAAACCAGGCAAAACGGTTGCTGGTAAGGGAATGACAGATAGGAAGTTGTGGAGCGGGATAGAGGGTAAGGGGACTTTTGCGGTTGGCTGTGCTAAGTAATTTCCCCTTGCGGATGCAACTAATTACTAAACATTTCGCATAAAATTCTCAACTTGACAGCCTCTAACTGCATGGCTAAGGACACGCGCCCACACCCACACAGGACAACAACTTGTACATGTCTATGTGGTGGGTGGTTGAATGCCTGAATGGTATATGAGTGGGTGGCCCAAGGATGTGAGGTGGTGGTGGCATATTATCAACGAATCTAACATGCGGTTTGTGCTAATTCACTGGCACAACCCAGCCAACCGCCAAACAGTCGACCACCGCCCTGCTTAGCGGTCATAAAGTAAACGCTATGCCCAGCAGATAGAAAGGATGAGGAAGTGGAAGGAGTGGGAGGCAACACTTCCGCTGGAGATGATTAGCCCAGCTACCCACACAGGAGCAGACTGCCCCGACAGGACTAGAAATTCAGGCCCACGCCGAGAAAAATGATCGTAAAATAGCTGAAATTATTTAACACTGTTTTTCGTATTTAATGCAAAAACTTTTCTTTGGTTGCGTGGAAATTGTTGCCGGAAGTTGCCCACAAAGTTGCAAAGTCTGCAACATGCAACACGCCGCAAATACCAACAACTTGAGCGACAAACGAAACGGTTAAAAGGAAGTACACTGGAA